AATGTTTTCGTGTCATATACACTTTAAGGATAAAATATATCCTATTATATATGGAGAGCCAAAGCAATGAGTACTCAATTCCAGAGTATAAATGCAAATTTTGTAATTATGCTTTTACAACCTATCATTCCCTAGCAACACACGAGGCTAAGGAAACATGTAAAGATAAGTAGTTTAGATGTGAGAAGTTTAATGCTAGGTTTGCTAGGAAGAATGGTTTAARCCAACACAGGTGTGGAAGGATATTTGAGTGTGAAAGTTGTGGAAGAAAGTTTAAGAGGGAATATGATTTGAAGATGCATAAAGAAAAGCAGACCATACCCTGTCAAAGGGAGTATGAATGTTATGATGAATGTTATGAGTGTGGATATAATTGTAGGAATAGCACCCAAATGAAGGGCCACCTGCTTTACCAATGTGAAAAAACGAGGATAGGACCCCCAGAGGAGTGTAGATTTTGTAATCTGACACTAAATACCCCAGAGGAATGTCAAAGGCATGAGGACCAGCACAGATCAGGACTTAAAAAATTAGCTATTATATAAATATGCACGAATGTAAGAAGTTTAGTCCAGATTTTTGTATAGAATGTCTTAATCCGCGCTTCATACCCACTAAGCCAAATAAGTATATTTGTTGTGGTAAAAAAATGCGAATAGAAGATGACACGTCAGCACAGTGTTACGAGTGTGGTAGGAACATTCGCAATGCCGTACCTTGTGCTACCAGGGAACAATATTACTCTAACGGAGGTCGTAAGAAGACCCCATACAAAAGAATATAATACTTTAGGGACTGGATGAGTCACATCCAAGGTCTTCGACCGGTATATTTAGACAACGAAGTTATGGAAGCGCTTAACTTAAAAGAGCCAACGCCACGAAGCCTAAGGAAGACATTGAAAAAATTAAAGCTAGGGAAATATTACAAAAGTATACCCTACCTTTTGTCTGAAATTACCGGTGACTCTATTCCCAAGGTTTCTGAAGATACTATGAGAAGGGCTGAGTGGATGTTTTGTCGGCTGGATAAGGATATTCCTTATTACCCTGACGTAATTTACGAAATATTTTACGAAATAGACCCCAACCACCCCCTGTTAGGATGGATTCCGAGGCGATGACATCACGTAGCAACGCCAACATTCCTTTTCCTCATAACAACCAGCGTTTTTACTTTCTAAGTTGGAAAATGCATAGGTGGAAATGGAATGTTGGTGAGAAACTAATTTGCATATGAACCAGACAGCCGGCGTTCAATATGCAAATAAAATCCTGTCTTGCTTTTTTCAAGCAAATATTTATTGAGCGAGCTTTCTTTGAAGCTCCTCTTTTGCCTCCTGGTAGATTTTTTTGCGAGATTCCTCGGAAAGATCTTTTACGACTGTTTTTTTGTTTCTTATGTCCGACTTTAGTTTCTCGTACTTTTCCTCTTCGGCCAGAATAATCGAGAATTCTACGTCGTCTATCTTTTTGTCACGCAATGCCTTTGAAACAAGGTCGGTAATTGTATTTACTTTAGCCCTTGACAGAGCTATTGTCGTGTCGTGTTTTGATATTTTCGTGGATAGCTTTTTCATAATGCCCGTAGCAACAGCAGAAACAATACCACAGGCTGCCCCAACGCCGGCCAAAGGAACCCCAACAATTACTCCGGGTCCAGTGAGTGAAGTAGCAACGCCGGAGCCCGTCAACACGACGGATATGGACCCCGAAGTTATCGCAATCTTATGTAGCGTACTACGGGCTCTGACGTACTTTTTTCGGACTTTTTCATAGTGTTTTGTCTGTCCTTCCAAGTAAGCCAGAATTAAATTTGCTTTGTTAAGCCTGAAGTTTTCAGCGTTTAGTTCGTTAGGACCCTCCTTGGATAGATCAGGATAAAGTGGAGGTGCTGATGGTATAACTTCCATTATATATACTAATGTACGACGCTTTTGGGAATAACATTGAGGAGCAGCCACATCACGATAATCGGGACTACTGGAATTGGAGGGCCTGTAGGAAGATGTTTCCGCATGCAGACCCTAGTAAGTTCGAAAGAAGACCCGATGGGATTTACTTCAACGGCTCCAGAATGTACAGCAATGCGGACTTGAGTCCAAATATAACGAAGAAGGTACCCGAGCATAAAGAAAGGCGAGAGGTAAGCAAGCAGCCTAATTTTCCAAAGAATCTATTAGTAACCAATCAGGATTACCCATTTTACGATGCTGAAGGTGGTGTAAACGACTTTGATAAAATAGTGACACATTTGAAAATTCCAGTGGGCAGGCAAACGTTTGACGTAGTAGTAAGGAATATCTTTAAGGATTTCAATATTACGCACACTTTAGGAAAAGAAGCCAGGGAATGGTTAAAGGGACCTAACTTTAAATATTGGACGCAGCAGTTGAACTTTGTAATTTGGGCGGCTCCGAAGGGCTGCGGGGTTGCCGTGGACATGTTTGACACTGCTTTTCTAAGGTTCCATGTGGCTTTTACTATGCGCCGCCTATTAAAGGAGCTTAACGTACCATTATACCAGGGGAGAAGCTCTTTAATAGAATGGATAACCACTACGATTCCGCTGCGCTAGAAAGACTAATGAATGAGTTTAAGCCGCAGCGAAGAGACTTTCGTTATCGGGAGGGTGCCACACATGGGTTAGGTATTATTTATCTTTACCATCCGACTGGCACGTACCCCGCAGACATGTATCATCAGAAATACCCAGGTAAGTTAGAGTTTGCAGATTTAGGTGGTAGTAGGTGGAACCTTAATCTTATTGAGAAGATTGAGACGATTTACCCCAGTCCATGGGATCCATTCGTATTATTGAAAGGAAAAGGCTTAAGAAACCTAGCAAGGATTAACCGCAGCATAGAGGCATTTGTGTACTGCATCTTAGGAGCGCAAGTAAATACCCACAGCCCCATTGTTGGATCCCAAGGTGCTTCACAGGAAACGCAACAGGAATTCCTAACTTTGAGTCCGCAGTAATAGAGAATGATATATCCAAATCGGTGGAAAGATATCAATTAGCGGTGCAGCAATCAAAGGTTAGACTGGATTACGCTTTGTCGCCTGGTTGTTGGTTAATGCCAAGTAATTTGGTTATCAACGCCAATTCCGTCGTGGGTTATAACAACAAGCTGCAGCGAGCTACTAAGGATATGAAGTTTGGG